GAACTGATGTGTTTCCCTGAGAAACAGTAAGACGACTAAAAACATTCATTTCATTACGGGGCCGGCATGGTGGGGAAGTAGGAGGTGACAGACTAGCCTCTGGGGCTCCAGAATCTGAGCTACAAGAAAAAAAGAACATCTTCTTTAAACAGGTTACGAATGGTTAGAGAGGTTAAATGAAACATGCCTCAAATGTTAGATCCTCTTTTTTTTAAAAGGTAAAAAAATAAAATTATAATGCTGGCTATAGATGTTTCCCAGAGAAGGTAATAACCCTATGACTACATACTGCTGCAGAGTGCAAGGTGGCACAACATTCAAAGTTTACTTGTTAACAATGAAAGCTCTAGGCATAAAAAGCATGTTCGTAAAAATGAAGAAAATCTTAAAAACTGCAGTTCTTCCAGGAAACTGATGTATTTCTTATTAAAAAAAAAGTCATTTGCAAATGCTCCAAAGTACATTTGCTCAGAGTTCTGACACTGAGTTATTTGTGTACAGAAAAACACTCGAGCCAAAAAAGAAAACAAAAATAAAAAACCACACACAAATCCTAATCAAAAAAACACCCACATAGAAGTTGAATAACGGACAATAATTTCATTGCCACCACTAAAAACTGTCCTAGAATTAAAGAAATAGAAAACATGATTTATTTTTCAAGAAGATATTCCCAATATTTAAATAATTTCAGAGAAAGTAAATATAAAAGAAGCTTACAGTTTTTGTTCTTTTGCCTTTGTCTTTTCCATTGTTTTCTCATAGGCTTTTCTCTTTGATAAAGGTGAAGGTTCAGGTATCTTCTTCTCTGACAGAGATGACTGTCTAGAACTAAAGCAAGAGGCATCATTAACTTACTTTACAACCCTTTATAAAGTTGCTTTTCTTACATTAGCTATCATTTTTCCCACTCAAAAGACTTCAAATCTAACTGTGCTTAATCTATTATTATTGCCCCTTTTGAATCTACCGAGTCCATTTTAAATTTGTTCTCATGTTTTAATATTAAGCACACCCAATTTATTACCTTTCACAGTTCATCAACAAGATGATCAAGAGTCAGATATTGAAAATATATAGGAGATCTACTGATTCAGTAACAAAAGAGGTTAACCAGAAGAACTACAGTGTTTGGAGAAGGTATCTCAAATTGAGGCTACAGAGAAGATGGAAGTTCTTACTGAGACCTTGATTTCAGTTTCCACAACTTTTTCTCATCTACAACAGACCACTTACAAATGCAAAGAGCAAAAAAGTCATAACGACTCTTACATATGTATTAAACTTTTCACTAACATGCTCATTAGTTTCAACATCAAATTCAAAATTAGGAAGTGGAGGAAGAAAAAGTATTTTCAATTCACAGCTTTACTGTTGTGACACTGCTTCTCTTCTTACTCACTCCCTTCTTCCTTGGTTTCCATCCCTCCTCTTTGTCTCTCTAGTTCTTTCTCTGAAATGATTCCCAGTTCAAAGTCACTGAGGTCTTCTTCCCAACCTTTTACTCCCATTTAAAATAGCAAAACGAGCAAGAGTGCAATATTAATGCTAACATTCGTGTCATCATTTCACCACAGTCAAGTAAGAGAATCCAGATGGTCTCCACTCTTCTAAGCCCCTTTTTCTCACTAGTTGGAGAATCAGAAAAGCAACATTTGCATCGATTTACCCATTTTGGGTTTAGAAATTTTTTTTTCTACCCACGTTAAGGGCCAGAAATGCTCACTGAAAGAGAGAGAGAGCAATTCTGCCCATTCTGAAAGCGCTCTTGTGGCCATACAACTCTGTTCAGGCAGCCTAAGCCCGACAAGCAGGCCGCCGGCCTAATGCAGTTACTAGCATCCAGTGTCAGAGCTCTACAGGCTCTGCATTTGTATACCTACAAATTCTCTACATAAGGAAAGCTGTGCCAGCTTCCCTCAAGAGGAAGCCTATGCTATATGAAATCCATCTTTGGGGACTGGCATGCAACAGAACATGATTTTACCAGCAGAGCACAACCAAAACCAGCTTCTCACCTGAACTGCCACAGCTGATCATGAGCACACTGAGCACATGCCCTAATTACAAGGTGAAGGTCCCACCTGCAGGACCTTGTGCCAGAGTTTCAAACAGACCTTAGAGCACCCCCGACTGCAAATAAACAGGGCTTTCAAAAGACAGGAGGAGAAGTAATGAGCTGTCCTTCTTTTGCACAGAAGCCTAGTGGTTAAAGTGCACAAAAAGGAGGGGAAGTGGGAAGCGGGCTCAATTCCCTCCTCAAGTCCAGAGCTCCCATTTCTCCATAGGGCTCCCCAACCTCTAGGCATGCTCTGCAAAGGACGTAAGAAGAGGGGGAACAGGATACACACCCTCTCTCTGTTTACGCTGGGCCAGAATATATTTAAGAAAGCAAAAGTCCTGGGGTTACAAGGCAACTCCTATGCTCAGCCTGGTAACTGCATCTTTCAGCTAGGGGAGGGAATCCTGGGTTCTAATCTCCACTGCCATGGCTGCCTACGTGCCTACTGCACAGCTACTAGATTAAACACAACACACTGGGATTGGGCAGCCAAGCTCCTCTGCCCCACACCAACGGTCTGCATACTTGACATGGAGCCAGCTCCCTATTGCTTACTCTCCACCTACCTCTTGAGTCTTCCATTTCTGTCTCCACAGTGACACATCCGCAGGTGTAAAGAGCATCATTATATTATGAATTACTTTTGAAGGCCTAGAAATGAGGGTATTCTCTTAAAAATGCAGGAGTTTTGCTGTAATGAACTTCCTAAACACAGATGTAGAACAGGTGCATTCTATCAATGACCTTTGGGAGCAAGACACACCTTATCAGAGGTTGCCAGTTGCCCTTTTAGATGTCCCAGGATATCAGAGACTTCTGAATGGAGGTGGCAAATGTAACACCACAGCTACAGGAGATCCATCCCTTTTCTGAAAGGGCTGCTGGGAACCAGGTGGGTATATCAGGGTATCTAGAATAGCCCTAGCCATCTCTGTAAATAGAGTTCCATCCCAAGTGACTGCTGGACTGAGCGCTGCCTGCGCGCATGAAGACGACTCTCTAAATCATCACAGAGCTGAGAAAACAGCTAGACTCCCAAAGTGGAACAGTTGGTACATATGCAGACACCTAACTTTGGGTGGGGTGCTGCACTCCAAAGTGTAAGCATATAACTAAATTTCTGGTGCCTCCAAAGCATGCACTTTTGGGATGACTATTACTGCATCCCTAAATTCCACTTAAGGCAGACAGCGTTTATTGCACATAGGATCACACTCTGCTCCAGAATGCATTTTATTGTAACAGATATGATGGCACTGCAGGCTCAAATAGCGACCTCAGTTCAGGTGACTCACAAATACAACCTTTCTTCAACAACGATCAGTGACTAGCAAAAACAGTAATACCGCAGAAAGTATACTGTGCTCTAGTTATGAAAAAGCATTACAACCTATGGTGAGAGAGTCACTGGAGACTGATTGCGGCAATTTTTAATGACTTATCTGCAAAAATATGATCAATAACATACTGAAATACGTGAGGCTGCCGCCGAGTGAATTGATTTACCGACACTGCACAACTGAATAATGCTTCCAGACTACAGTTTTAGAAAATCCTGTTTTGCCTCATTGCTAGTTCACTTTCACAAACGGATACACGCTAGAAGAGGGAGCAAGGCAAAAGAAGGTATTACCTGAGTGTTGGATGGCCAGGTCACAACACTTGATGTTTTTAAATCTTGAAGCTTCAAAAGACTCTAGCGATCTCACACTAACTGCTGAAATAAATAGGTTTCTCCACCTATCCTTAGCCCAAGTGCACTTTTTTCAAGCAGATTCTAGTTGCAAAACGCACTGAAGCCATCAGCATGGGTTAATAAATGCTGTCAGCAGTGTTTGACTGCTCATGTTTGCCACCTCAAGCACATGCTAGAAAAACGTGGTATAAGTAATACAAATTGCAAGTGTACATTAGATTGAGACTGCTGTAAAAATTTTATGCAGATAGGACAGATGAATAGTGAAAAATGCCTAATTCCAGTATCTTTAACGTGGAGACAGCTATGGGACACAGTTTTTCCGTATCACTGAGTGTGGCAATTCATTCAGTTCACGCATGAGTTTGTGGAATGTAAGCGCTACTACCTACAAAGTCAATGAAAGGTTTCCTAGCAGTGAATAGCTGAAATCAACAGTGATATTTGTAGATATAAAAGGGAAAGCAAGAGCGAGCGAAGAAAAGCACACATGAGAGCAAAAGCATGAGAGAGACTCGCTGGACTCAAAGTAAAAAGAGAGAAATAAAATTCCTAATTTTATTTGGCATCAAGTAATACCTTCAACTAGTAAAACTGTTCTTGGGGTAAGTGCAACTTGCAAGTGGAAAGGAATTTTGAGGATTCATAGTATCCCACGTTTGTTTTAACTTTACACTTGCACGTTCACTTATTGTATAGACCTCTCCATTTTAAACAGTCCACACAAAATGTCTCATAGAAAGATTTTATGCAATTTTTAGGACCATATACAGGTACTACTACTGCATTATAAAATGTTTTTCTTTTCTTTACCTCTCTGCTGTCCTAAGCAGATTCTCACCACCTCCCTAGAATCTGCGTTTCCCATATCACTATTAAGTGACGTATCCGAGGTATCAGAAGATTTTTTCCCTGCTATATAGAAACAAGGCTACACGAATTTCACTAAGATACGAACTTAACAGAAGCTTATTCCATAAAAAAAAAAAGTATTATTTATAATCGTGCATTTATCCTTTCTAGAGTCATGACGGTAGAACAGAAGAAAGGGCTTTGTCAGTATTATTTCATAAGCTTCAAGTACATCAACCTCCTGTGCAAAGTTAAAAATAACCAATTACAAGAAATTGGCAACATGCATTTTTTTAAAAAGCGAAAGATAATTAGTACAGCATGGCCAAACTTACATGCTGCCTATCTTAGGAGGTAAGCCAGATGGTGGGGGAATAAACTCTCTGTCCCTAGCAGAAGTATCATTTGTGTCAGCAGTCATCCCACTTTCTCGGGTTTCTGCAACAGTCGTAAGAGGGCCAGGCAAAGCAGAGTCTGTAGCACTAACATCAGAGCCTAAATCACTGCTGTCTGCATAGAGCAATTCCATCTGGGTAGTGGTTCTCCGGCGGGCCTGGAAACACACAGAAGCCAAGTTCCGATTTAAACGTTTCACAGTATGTACTGGAGCGCTACATTTAAGCTTATCGTTAACTGGCAATTAACATCCCACTCAATTCACTCGGCAACTGCCTTTGGAAACTAAATTGTGGAGCTTGCCTGTACTCTTTGGTAACAATAGAGAAAGCAAGTCACATTCAACAGCATGAAACATTGATTTGACAACTGTTGGAAAGGATATCCTTGGAAACCAACTCCAAGCCCCTGTCAATATTACAAAAGTACAATATTACCCTCTTAAGGTTTATCTAAATGAAATGTTATAAAGCAGAGGAATAAAGCAAAGTGCGGATTTAAATAGCCGCAATTACATTGGCGTAACTTCTCATGCTGATGCTTGTTCTGATATAAAAATGTGTGCTTCTAACTTAGTTTACGTCACTCCAGAAGTAGTTTAAGCCAAGATGAATAAAAATTCACTCAGCTTTTCAAACGTTTGAAAACAACAGAAAAATTCATAAAGGAGCTGAGC